AGAAAATGAAAGAGAGAGAGAAAGATGAGTTCTCCCCTCGCCATTTCGATGTGTGTCGTCTCATTTTCTCTTCCGCAGTGAATGCGCACGGATAACAGACGCGCTATCCCTACGCTTATTCCCACTTTACACACAACCTCTCACACAACCACACCGACGTTACACAGATGACAAGCCTTTCGTCTCTTCCTCGCGGCCAAGAGGGGAGCAGTAGGAACTCAAAGTCGTTCCTTTCTGCAGTGCCCGCGTGAGTGTATCGACACTCCCCTGAGATGCATACTCCACAATCAAGCGCGGTCCGACCACATTGATGTTTTTGACAACACCAAAACGTGATAGCTCTTCCCAAACGTATCGCTCATCCACATTCTCTTTATTGCCCTTATTTAACTTCGCTATGAAGACACATTTGGGTGGATTCATTGTGGAACTCCGGTCTGGGAGAATATTGCCAGCACAACTGTCCCCAGGCATCGCCACCCCCACAGGCTTCCCACCAACTGTAATAACAGAGGGCGCTTGCAGCTCTAGTTGCCGACGCTGGGGGGGCTGCTGTTGCTGCTGCGGAATCATTGGTGGTGGCAGCGGTGGCGGTGACGGTGGGAGTGGAGGTGGAGGTGGAGGCTGCGGCACGTGCTCTGTGCATCCATAGGTGGGACGTGCAGGAGGCATCACATTCCCTGCCACATGTACGTCTGGCAGAGTGGCCATGCTTGCTGCAGCCCTAGGCGCTGCAGGATGCAACTCCACAGTGACGCCGTCGATGATGACACACGGAAAGCTCGCGGCGAGGCAACGCGAGGCCGCCTCCACTGTCTCATACACCACTGTGAACGTCGCAGTTTTCACCTGCATATCGCACCGCAGCAGGGGACCGAACTGCTGCAAGTACTGCATGAAGGGTTTCCGCGCAATAGAATAGCCGAGCGCGCAGCGCCCTATCAGCACTGTAGTCGCTTCAGCTGTTGGCAGCATCCCTGTACCACACAACACAGGCGTGACGGAACCACCTTTCGTATGCGGTGCGTCCGTCCGCGTTTTGTCAGTCTCGTGGCGTCGCCGCTGCCGGGAGGGCTTGTGTCGCCCGCGACAAGACGAATCTCGTGACGATGAACAATAGGAGCCATCGGACTCATACGACGAGCGACTTGAGTCACAGTGATGATTATGGTGGTGGTGATGTCGACGCTGGCGGCTTCTGTGACGCCTTCTACGGCCATTAGCAGCAGCAGCAGCAGCAGACCCACCACGATCACCTCCACCCCCATCCGAGCAATGCAGCTGCTCCCTGAGAAACTCACGACGACGGTCGTACGTGTTGCGGCCATACATTGCGCCAGGTGCGAGGGCCAACGCGTCCTGCTGGTGTGTCTTCTCGAGGTGCGTCACGATGGCGGCGACGGGGACCTGATGCGCAGGGTTCAGCGGACAGCGCATGTAGCCGAGCGGCAGCTGGTGCTGCTCCGCACGGTGCCGCAGCAACCGCAGCATCTTCTCCTCGAAAGAGAGCGGGACAGCGTCCACCATTTCCTGCACCGTTCCACACCACGCTGAACGCTGAACGCAAACTCTCCCTCTCTCGGGCAGACACAGAGGGAGATGGAGTGGCCTAATTCCTGAAGCGATACACCCCCTCCCCTTAAAAGACCAGCTCAGCCTCTTCAAAGGCCAACTGAACCATTGTCAACAAGAATTGATGGATAAAAAAAAGAGGTATTGAAAAAAAAAAAAGAACACATAGAAAGAATTCACAGTAGCTGCAGCAGATGAGGGACTATTGTTGCTTTACACTCGGCGATGCAAAGTACCGTTAGCATTTGTGTTGCCTTTGGCTTTCCAGCCCCTTTTTTTGTGCACATTACACAGCAAAAAGCAAGCCCATTCTTCAACTGTAGGCATATAGTTATTAAAATAGTCCATCCTCTTTCTTTCTCCTTCGCCGCCTCTATTCCTCCTGAAGCGAGTGACCTCCCTCCGCTACTCACACCAACATGGTGGTTGATTCCTTTCCCTCTCTCATTCTTTTTTCGGTTTGTTGTCTTCCACCTTCTCGAAGCGCTTCACCCCACAACAACCAATGCAGCAGAATAAAAGGGAGGTAAGGGCAGCGAAATACTTTTAGTGCCATTCCGACTATGCCGTGTTGCGGTACATGTCGCAAAATTCCATGCACAACGCAGCGTGGCTAGGAGAAAAATGAGCAAACAGCAATTACAGTTGACTTGCACAGTACAGGCAGAGACATACAGACACAAGACGCAGCCGCCGTCAAGCCAAAGAGAGCAACCCGCACAACGGTTAGCTCTCGGTAAGGGGGAATATGTGCGTTGTATTTGTGTATGTGTGTATGTGTGCATGTACACGTGGCCCGTCCACGTCATCGTGCAGCCACCGGGGGTCCGCCAGAAGCACCCTTCTTCGTCGCCCCCTCCTCACGTACAGCAGGTGGCGAGGTGTGAATGCCATTGCCCTTGCCATTGGTATTCTTGCTTTTGCTGGTAGTGGTGAGAGTCGTGCTGCCCTTCACCTTACTGGTTGGCGATGGCGTGTCCCTGCGTGCGTGCGTAAGTCCTTCCCACACAGCCCCCGCAAAGACGAGCAGCAGCGAGACCCACTGCCCTGCCGCGACGTGGTGGCCGTGGATGAGAATGGACAGCAGCACACTCCCCGACTTCCGAAGCAGCGTCAGAGCCGTCATCGTCAGCGTCCCAAAGAGAGAGATGGTGCGGAAGATGAAAAACTGCCCAACCGCATTAAGAAGACTCATCACAACAACGTCATGCAGCGCCTCCGGGTACTGCTGGAAAAAGTGGTACGTGCGGGAGAAGTCGCCTAGCGGCACCACCTCGCGCAGGAACCAGCGGGCAAAAGTGTCAACGGACACGAGGAGTGGCAGCAGTGGCAAGGTGGTGGGCGACAGTGCCGCTCCCGACATCTCTTCCACCTCAAGAAACACCCCAGCTAGAGGGTGGAGCAGCTCCAACGCCACCAGCACGAGCGCCAGCCACGCACCGGAGGCGATGTTCGTGTACAACATGAGGCTGTTGCCGCCCCACCGCTGGCGTTTGACAAGCACATCCTGCGTGGAGTTGGTGAATCCATCCATGAGGAGGTTTAGCAGCAGCAGCGCGAATCCCATCCCACCACTGCCGCGGACCGGCCTTGATTCCCGGTGCGGGTGTTGCGCCTCCTCCAGCATGTAGAAGCAAATGATACCGCCTGTGATGACGCCGCACGCCGCGCACTTGCTCAGTGAGTACCGCGTGCCGTGCCAGAAAAACCCGACCAGCATGACGGGCACCATCTTCGACATCTTTGTTGCGAGCACGACGGGGTACGGCAGCCGCCGCATCGCCGCGTAGCCCAGGCTGGAGCCGAAGGCGTTGGTNGACATCTTTGTTGCGAGCACGACGGGGTACGGCAGCCGCCGCATCGCCGCGTAGCCCAGGCTGGAGCCGAAGGCGTTGGTGAAGCCCATCACCATCGTCAGGCGGAACACGTTGGCGTTAAAGCCCCCCGTCACACGCGCCTCCGTCTTCGGCACCGCGTCACTGCGCTGCTGTGTGAAGCGCCGGGCGTACAACGCCTCCACGAGTAGAAGGAGCGCGCTGACAAGTCCACCCGCAGCGGCCTGCGCGAGTCCAATCACGAACACTGTCGACAGCCGTGCCGACTCCGCCGTCGCATCGCCGTCCACCGCACGATACGGCTTCGTGATGACANCAATCACGAACACTGTCGACAGCCGTGCCGACTCCGCCGTCGCATCGCCGTCCACCGCACGATACGGCTTCGTGATGACACGCTCCTGCTTGATGGACCAAACACCGAAACAAACGTAAATGCCAGAAACGCAGAGTGCCATCTGAAGCATGACGCGCAGGACGGACATTGCCGGCGGGGATTCCGCCACGCTGTCATTTCGCCGCTGCTCTCTCTGTTGCTGCTGTTGCTGTTGCACTTTTTGTTGTTTCTGTTGCTGCTGCTCCCGCGTCTTCAGCACCACTTGCGGTCCCTCGCGCCTAGTTGTCATCGCCACCGTGTACAGCACGGAATTGAGAGTGAGAATGCAATCGCCCTATTCTCGCCCTGGGACAAATGTGCGCATTGAAATAAATAAGGGGGAAGACGGGGTAGTGGCAAAGAAATGCCCCTCAACAACAACAACAACAACAACAAGACATAAACGCCGCAGCGGTTTGCAACCGATGGCGCACAATAACGCGTCGGTAGACAATGAGGAACACACAAATTCCACCCTTCTCTCCCTCTCTCTATGAGTAAAATGGCGCACACAATGAACACACATACACACACATCCTCTCACACCCTCTCTTCATGCCTCTCCCGCCGCACGAGAGTAAGAGACACAAGAGGGGATAAGAAGGAGAAGTGTAAACGGCCTACATTGCGAGCTCAAGCCCGAATCGCGTCTCCCCTCCATGCACGTGGTGGATGCCGAGCGTCACCATGAGTGTGTTGGATATCCTTGTAGCTATGCCGACACCTAAACGGCCAAGTTTGTTCACCCCGAGCTTAAGCAGCGTCGGGCTCGCGAAAACAGGCGTTATGTCCAGTACCCCCGCCGCCTCGAAGTCGGTGTCGCGATCGTGAAACATCGCCGACGCGCTTAGTCGAAAGAGATCGTCGTTGAACGACTTGCTTACACCGATGAGGGTACCCAGCTCGCGCCAGCTCGCATCGCCCCTGAAGAGCGTGCTGCGGCTCCGCATCGTCTCGTCAACATCACTGGCAGACTTGTGGCTTGTCATGAGCGTCTGCACGAGCAGCACGCGATAGCTGTGGCCGCAACGCGGGTCCGGCGCGCTGTGGAGACACAGAGCAGCCAGCGTGTCGCCCCCCGCCCCACCCATCGGGTGCTGTAGCGCCGCCGTCACGTGGCACGACGGCG